GGTTTATATGATCGTTGTATCCAGGAGGTAATTGTCCACAGAGGTCGCAGCAGTTATCGACTGGCATTTTCGCTTTAGGACATCGTGCTGTCACGAGACTCGATCTGTTGATAAGTTTTTCTGCACTTTACTGTTTTTATCCAACAATCGGAAGCGAAATTTTTTTTTTCTTAATTTCAGTACGAATTATTAGTTAGGTTTACCATCCATAACTATTGACTTGGTCGTACGTTATCGCACTTGTAATGTTCAAGATTTGTAATAAATATTTTTTTCAAAAGGCCTTTGTAATAATTATTCAACTTTAACGTGAATGATATATTTAACTATTTCTGTCCGTTCATATACAGATATGTCAAAGGAAAAGTCTAACTTCTTCACTTTCTTCAGCAACTCCGCCATCAATTTCAAATTCCAGTCCTTATAAATTATATTTAGAAACAGTTTAAACAATGTTTTTCCTCAGTTTAATTAATTTATAGTTGTGACTATAATGAATTGGATAGGGTTGCCTGCACTTCTTCTTCTGCTGTTCTTAAGCAATGGAACATCACAGTCCATCATCAGGACTCTTCCAGGTTATTCGGGTACTCTTCCCATCAAACTTGAAACCGGGTCAGTTCTTTTATTCTTTATTTTCGTAGACATTATATTTACTTTCTTTTCATGTTTAGTAGGGTTGAGTCCAATCTGTTTATCAAACATAAAGTAAATATTTTTGGAATTTTTGTTTTGAATGATGGACTAGATACATTGGCGTGGGAGAAAATGATGGCGTGCAGATATTCTACTATTTCATTAAGTCTGAAAATAATCCTAAAAATGACCCTCTTTTGGCTTATCATCCCTCGCCTATGAAATTGGTAATCACTCTATATAAATATGTGTATATATGTTTTATGTGTGTCTATATACACTAAATTATGTGTTTATTTTCTTTTTCTAGGCTTAGACAAACATCTTAAAAAGGTGCATGTTCATAAGAGCAACTTTTGGCTTCAATTGCACTCAATCCTCAACTATTTCCTTCTGGATATTAGCTCCTCGAGTTTAAATTTTCAAAAGAAGTAAATCACAGGTGGAGCCAAGTGTTGGAACCGGGATGGAAATACAAGAAGAATTAATTTGATTTGGTCAAATGACATCCCGTGTATATTATTTGATTATTTTGAGTACAAAGTAGAATATAAATTTTTTTTTGAACTTTCTTTCTTTACAAGGCATGCAACACCTCGTCAATATGCTGAAATAATCTCAGTAAATCCCCAATTGTTGTGTTGTGTTGTGTTGGATATAGAGCACATGACTTACCTCTCCCAATTGTCAAATCCAACAGTTACCAACGTTGAATTATTGAGTAAAGTACTCAGAAAAAAACAAAGTAAAAATAATATGCCTTATTTTCTCAAGGCGAATACTCCAACCAATGAAGCTGGTTGTACTAATATTCCGCATCTGAGCCTTCTATTTAAGAGAAAAAAAAAAGAAAAAGAAAAAAAAGGTACTAATATTCCTTAAACCGACAATACTAACTTCCATATAGTGTCCTTGAATAGTTCAAAAGTTTCTGCTTATACCTCCCTACTTTCGATATGTCCATTTAATGTGATCTCTTTCATCCACTGTACTCACTTCTATCCCTTGTGCAGGTCCATTAACTTTTGATGTTGCAAATTTTGATGGAAGCTTACCATCTATTCTCCTAAATCCACATTCATGGACCAAGGTAAAAATACCTCACTTCATATATGATTCAGGTCATGTATATATGTCTTCAATAGCTCTCCGCGTTTATAATATAATCATACGATTTTCAGGTTGCCAATATTATATTCATTGATTGGCCTGTTGGTACCGGATTTTCGTATTCAAACACTTCAAAAGGTGACTCTTCCTCAGACACAAAATCAGCGAAAGATAATTATACATTTCTTAGGAAGGTAGGTCGACATTGTTTATCATGCACGTGGTATTCATGAAAAGGTGAAATTGATGTTCTATTTTTCGATATGGATGTTAGTAGTACTCACACATTCCTAATTATATGTACTCGGCCCTCATTTTTTTGTTTGGTTTGTGAACTAACAATACATTGATAATAATACAGTGGTTATTAAATCACCCCATGTTTATAAAAAATCGTCTATATGTTGCTGGTGAATCCTATGGAGGCAAACTTGTTCCCATGGTTGCTATGGAAATATTACTAGGTAGCATTTAAGAAACAAAGCTTAAAACATTTTATACAATTTCTTATTGTCATCCAGCCAAGCTTGATTAAGTTGTGACTCTTGATTGTAATGCAGGTAACGAAGCGGGATTGCAGCCACGAATGTCCCTCCAAGTATTGTTTAGTCCACACAGGCTCTTTTTTTTTTTCAATAATATAACTTTATTTTTTGTGTTAATGGTAGAGTTCTTTTGAAATCAAAACAGGGATACATCATTGACAATGGACTAACAGATCCAAACATAGATTATAATGAACGAATTCCATATGCTCATCGCATGACACTTATATCTGATGAATATTTTGAGGTAATCTTTTTTATTCTACTACTTTGATGATCAAATATAGCATTTTGCATATTATTCTCGTGTAATTACTTGGCAAACTTTTAGTTAGCAAAAGTTAGCTGTGATGGGAAATATGACAATCCAGATCCAAATAATGTGAAATGTCTTTTAGCCCTTCAACCTATCCAAGAGGTAAACACTTTATCTTGTTTTGTTTTTCATTTCCTTAAGAATTAATTATATATGGTCGTAACACAAAAAGTTTCCCTATTTGATCAAATATTGCAGTGTGTAAACCAAGTAAATCATGCTCAGATATTGGAACCAAAATGTAAATTCATAACACCAAAACCATATGATTTTGGACGGGATCAAACATTTCGGGAAGACGATTTTGTTGACCACCTAGTCCTCCCAGCATCTGAACAAGATCGAACGTTCTGTCGGGTAACTTAATTAATCCTCTCTCTCTCTCTCTCTCTCTCTCTTCCCCACCTTTCTATCTCTCTTTCTATATCTATTGGGACTGGTCTCCTGAGTAAAGGTAACCACTCGGGTAACATGACATACTACAATAGATGGTGAGAGATATTGGTTGATTACATCACGTATTATAGTGTGTTACGTCACCTTATACATATCAAATACTAGTTGGCTTAAAATTTATTTTTCTAAAAGGTAAGTTATTACTTTGTCAATAAAGAAGAAATCTTTTTAAAACTACGTTTGGTAGGATAAAAGCTTATAGCAACATTTACTTGTGTTTTCTTTCAAGAGCACAGTTCTTTTCTGCAGAATAAAAATTATGCAACATCTTATGTTTGGGCAAATGATCCAACTGTCCAAGAAGCTCTTCATATTAGAAAGGTACGTTAAATAGAAAATATTAAAGATTTAGCATGCTTTAACATGTGATAGCTGTTAACGAAAATATGTTCGCTTTGTAAATCGACGCAAGTGCATGGTTCATTAAAAAGTAATAAAGTGAAAATTGTAAAATTTCGAGTATCGTCCCACGAGGATTGATTTGATTTGATTTATATTATCAAAATCTTAACTGAATCTATTAAACTCAAGATGGTTGGAGATTTGAATTTTATAACTAAACTAGGACTAACGTGGAATTTAAAACTAAGGTTACTAAATAAATGCATAATGATCTTGAATGCAAAAGTTTGATGAAATTAATGAAAGAAAAGCGCACTAAGATCCCGAATCACCAAACAAAGTTCCCTTTTAACCCCCATGTCACAATTTGATAACACAATGAATTGGTTGAAGAATTAATGTTTATACTTATCCAACAATCTCTTTTGAGTAGAATTGAACATATTCTAGCATATCATTGGACTATATTTCTATGACAAATGCAATATATAAGAATATATGACGTTTTGTAAACTCTTAGAGATTCACGTAAAGTATAGCAGTATATTTCTATCCATATGAACCCTACGATGATTTATATCTTGTAGAATTCATTTTCCTTCTTTTGAATGTATAAAATAGATCACCCAAACTCACATAATCGCATGTATTTAACTATGAAAGCGAGAAAGTATATATAAATCATTCAACATCCATCAATCGTGTTTGAATATCAAATTGCAAAATAGAGAATTAAAAGATCATATTGCGAGGTTCATCGTTCACCTAGTACATAAAAAGTCTAGCTTAATATGGATAGAATAAAAGAACAATAAAAATAGTAAGGAGAAGGCATCACCAAAAAACTAGAAATTAGGTTTAAAAACTTGAATTTTCAATGAAATCCTTGTTCTCGCCTTCTTGTTAGCTCTCCAATGTGTTTTTTCTCTCAAAGAATGCGTAGCCTCCCTTTTTTGGACAAGATTAGAGTTATAAAGAAGTCCTAGATGCGTTGTCATAATTTTGTGATTCAAATAAGGAAACCATAAAATTCGCGCCCAAAATGAACCATGCGACTGTATGGTATAAACCCATGCGACATCATGGTTATACAAATTTTTCACTGTTCGTCTCCTTTTGGTGCTTGGGCGATTGCACGGACTTTCTACCATGTGATTGCATGGTAGAAATTATTTTCTCTTTGATTAACTTTGATCCCCAAGTTTGTTTCATTCACCTTTTGACCTTGATTCCTTTTCCTTCTTCTTCTAACATCCCATGATATCACAATGTATTATTTAGCTCAATTTCATGCTTGATTCATCATTCGGGTCATCTTCTAAATAATTGCATTTTGGTCCTCGAAGTTTTATGTTCTTCCATTTTGGTCCTTTTTCGCTCGTTTTCTCATTCTCTTCATTCCATCCATCTTTATAATCCTACAAGCACAAATAATATCTAATTCAGCCATATTTCAACATATACGTCAACAATTTTCCATATTTTGTGACCTAAATAAGTGTGAAAAAATGCACTTATCAATAGCTATCAACAAAAAGAAAATAGTATATTTTATAAAAAAAATTAGGGTAATCACGTACTTTGATCACCAGGGGACAATAGGAGACTGGACGAGATGCAACCAGAGCTTATCTTATGAGGAGAATGAAGAAAGTGTTCTTCATTATCATAAAATTTTCAGCAAGAAAGGATTCAATGTTTTAATATATAAGTAAGTCTTATATGTTTCTTTGCTTAAATTTAGATTGTGACTTAATTTGTTCCAAGTTTATTCTCATCCGTCAACTAAAATATATTTGCTGGTTAATACTTCATGGTAGATCATTAAAAGAAAAACTAAACTATATAAATATGTAAATATTTATATGTTTTCTGATTATGCTTTTTTTCTTTCTAGTGGTGATCATGACATGTTTGCACCTTATATGGGTCCTTTAAAATGGATTCGCAGTCTCAATATGACTGTTGTTGACAACTGGAGACCTTGGAATGTTAATGGCCAAGTTGGAGGGTTAATTTCTTTTTTTTGTTCTACATATATATATTTCATGTTAATATCTTCAAAATTTCACTAAACTTTATACCTTGTAGATACACGTTGAAGTATAAGAAGAATGAATTCAACCTCACATTTGTAACAGTGAAGGCAAGAAAAGTTTGGCTATGCTCATTCTCACAAAGATTTGAAAAAAAAAAAAAAGAAAAAAAAGAAATGAGAGTGCCATTTTGTTTTGCAGGGTGCAGGTCATACCGCACCAGAGTACAACCCTAAAGAATGTCTTGTAATGTTAAAACGATGGCTCTCAATACGTCCGTTATGGGAATGGATAGACATGCATGTTTTAAGGTTCATTTGTTATGCCTTCTTAGCTTGTAAACTTAATAAATATGTTCATTTTTAAGTTCAGTTAATGAAACTTGATATATTTTAAGAGCAAATGTATAAGTAACTTATAATTGATTATATTTATCTTCGGAGGGCTATATTCTTAGGTACTGAAATAGTTATGAAATAAATCTCTGCGCTCTCATGACCTTTCAAGGTGTGTCTACTACTCCGATAAACAAAAGCTACATACGAAATAAGGTTGAGGCTTTCTCCTCTATTATACCTCTAACGTGAGAATTAGTAAGAGATTTAAGAATGTAAACTTAGGAAGAAAAGATAGAATGCATATTCAGATAGCCAAAATTTCAAGACCCATATGTATCTTGCCTTAGGAGTATTTATAGGTGTTTGAAACAATGGAATTGCTCGACGGTCATTGTGCTACGTGTCCAATGTAGGACCTCCCACTACTCCCCACGTTCTGAGTGGGGGACCTCTACGTATTTAGCTGTTGGTTGTGTTCATGATAATCGTTGAATGATTTCCATCCAACTCATGTTTGTTTTTATGGTTAAATGTTGTGTTGGTCTCGTAGTGGTAGAAGACCTCATAATAATAGACGGCCCAGTATGAACGTAGAGGGGGTCAACGGTCTAGTATGAACGTAGAGGACTTCACAATGGTCGACAGTCTCATAATGGTAGACGGCCTAGTATGAACGTAGAGGGCCTCATAGTGGTAGATGACCTAGTATGAACGCAGAAAACCTCATAGTTGTCGATGGCCTCATAATGGGTACATGGCTTTGTATGCACGTAGAGGGCCTCATAGTGGTCTACATCCTCATAATGGTAGACGGCCTAATATGAACGTGGTAGACCACGCCTAATATGAATGTAGAAGGTCTTATAGTGGTAGACGGTCTAGTTGAACGTAGAGGGCTTCCTAGTAGTAGATGGTCTAGCATGTGGTGTTCTACGTAGAGTGCTTATTGAATAATGTTCATTTTGTTGGTCAGCGTAGATAATTAATGATGTCATCTAATATCAAGTACCACATGGCATTTTATTTTACTTAGATATACAGTAGTTTCTAACTAGTATTTTCAATTGTAATGTCATGAATTTTTTGCATTAGTTCATCCTACATCTGTTTTCGTACGTTGAGTTTCAAGCATATATGACCTCAGTTTATGTACGCTTGTTGGCCAACAGTGCCCAACCCATGTCCCATAAAAGTACGGCTTCTTAAGGACGTAGTCGCATCGTAACCTCTTGATTCTCTTGAATGTGTATACTATAATTCATTCCGAAATGAGAAATGTATGATTTTAATTTTAGAAGCTTACAACTCAATAATTTTAAGGGATTAGATGGACAGAGATACTTACATTTAAATTTGATTACCTCATAATTTCTTTGACGCGAGTACTTGTTCATAAATTGACTGATGCAGAAGTACATGAAGATCCATTAACCAAGAAAATTGATTGGAGTTTAAATCTAATTATCGATATTTTGACACTAATGTACTATATGTAAGTACTTAACACAATACAAAATAAATTAACATTCAAAATAAATATTTATAATCAAATTGAAAGACTGGTCAAAGATGTATTGTTATATTACTAATTGACAGCACGTAACATCTTTTAATTAAAAAGTGGAACAACTAGCTGTTATTTTTTAATAAAAATGTCACAAACCATGTAATTTGACTTTTTCTTAAGAAAAGCTTTGACTATATTAAATCACAATCCTGCAAAAATAGAAAAAAAAATATATAGATGGTTAAATAAAATTCAAATGAACTAACAACAAATATATGCTCCAGAAAAATTAAATGATCTCTGTTTCCGTCGCATTAAATATGAAGGCAATTCAATACAGTAACAGAAATTCCAAAAAGTGAAAAAATTCAAAAAAGTGACAAATACTCAAAAAGATAAGAAATATCAATCAAAACTGTAGAATATATTCAGACGTGGTTGTTTTTATTCGATATGTTGTCTTTTTGCAATTATGTTTAACTTCTATCAACTAAACAAAGAACATAACTTTATTTTAGGAACATCACAACTACATAGTTGGAAGTGACGTAAATTCAAAAAGGTGAACAATTTTAGAAAGTGGCAAACACTATAAAAAAAGGTCAAAAATACAAATCAAAATCTTAGAATAGATTTAGGGGATGGTTGATTTTCTTCTGCTTCTTGTTCTTTGTGATTATATAATATATTTAACTAGTATTAACTAAACATAGAACATAATTTTACTTCAAAAACCTGATTTATATCATACATAATATAACCAAACGCAATAAAAATTAACAATAAAAATACAATAGAGGTTTAACCATTGCGATCCACAAAATCTCGTGAATCTTCATCTTTTTAGTTGTCCACTTCACAAATCCTCCAAACTGCACAACAACATCATCTCAATAGGGGATCCTTTCCGTGGCATACCACTCAAGCTCCATCTCCACTAGCAGCATTCATAAATAACGTTCAGCCAGTGGCAGACCCAGCACCCGGCGAGCCCCGGCGGCTGCCCATGCTGGGTCCGCAGGAACAGTTTTTTTTTCAATAATGAATAAAAAATTCAGATTATTGTAGCTCAGCTAGCTAGAGTTTGTATGTTCATGGAAGATTTCCTAGTTTCGAATCCTTTTGCCAGAAATTTTATTTGAAATATGTTTAAGTCTGAAAGTTTTGCCAAAATTAAATGTAACAAGGGATGGGATTTGAACCCGCAACCCCTCTGTAAGATATCAGAGCCTTGACCATTGAGCCACTCATGAAATTTGATATTGAGTTTACAAGAATAATATATGTTATAAATTAGTGGTTTTAATACAATTGTAAAAATTCAAACCCCATACACTTCCTTTGAATTATACAAAATTTGGTACAATATCATTCGGTGAATATTGTTAATTTTTACAACAAAATTGTATATATTTAGTTTGAACAAAATAATTGTTATATTTAAATCATAGACCTCGTTTGATTCCACTTTTTTTCAAAATACATTTTTCTCTCTTCTTTCAACCGTACATTTTTCAATAAAATAATATTACATGCAAATTCAAAACTTTTCCTTATTTTTAACAACACGTTCTTCATCAAATCACTATTCTAAAATGCATTATTTTTAAAAAAAATAATAAATATGGGTATCAAATGGAGCCCGCCCATGTTGAACTTTTGTGCTGGGTCCGCCACTGCGTTCAGCCATCTCATTAGAATATTCACAGCTGGAATGAGGGAATCCTTGACTGATTGTAAGAGTTGAGGAGAGCATTAAACAGAGACTAAATAAACCAAACTCGTGGAAATCGTTGGATATCAATAGAGAGTGTTTCACGCGGTTTTATCGAGCCTCGCTAACAATTAAAGGATGATTTAGACGATTGTGTAAAGAACAAACCTCTTGACACAAAGTCCTAACGAGGGGTACTTTATTTACAATGAAAAACGAAACAGAACGCCTCCAAGGGGCATAAGCACACAAAATAATTTGAAAGTTGACGATAAGAATTAAAAGAAGTAAAATTACATATTCTCCGTTTGAGAATGATTGATTCGAGGTCGTTTTCTATGTTGTTTTCCTTCTTTTATACTCCTTTGCCGATTTTCTTTGTAAAACCGCTTTGGAAACTGCTAGTCGTTACTCTATAACTACCCACTTTCTCCATCATGGGTTGTTCACCCTTTTTAACCGACCCTATCTCTTAACTTTTTGCAACCAAAATTCTTGGATCGTGGAATGTGATAAGCTTGCTCAATAACTACTTCGATAACCACGGCTTTAAATAAATGCAATATACCATGTTCGCTCAGATCTTGGGCGTCTCGAAGGTTTGGGTGAGAATAGGGCCTGTAGCTCTAAGCGACAATGAGATACTCCATTCGCTCAGCTTCTGAACGTTCTGTAAGCTTGGGTGATTATAATCCTCTATTTTTGGGCCTCCACTATGTTTCACAATGGCCTCATTTGGGCCCATACCTCAACTTTCCAACTGGGCTCCATCCATTGGACTGTTTAATGGGAACTCATTTTTGTATGTCAACAATTACCTTACAATATGGCAAAATTAATATCAAATATTGATCTTATGCCATATTCTTCCTTTGTATTTTCTGGAACAATGCTTGAATTCTTCGAAAAGAGCGGATAATCCCAATTATTTTTTCCGTTTGGCAGTAATTCTCTACATCCCTAAAAGCGTAACACCACATAACCCATACAAACAAAAGGCATACCACTTTAGCATGTTATTACACCCATCTTTATATTGCGTGCTTCTTTCTCACAGTTCATTGCACTATTCATATTTTTGCTATTCTGTTACGTTTCTTAAGCAATCCTCACCAAGACTTTCCTTTGCATCAAATGGCTGCTTTACAAACTCCTTCCGACAACTCCATTAGTTTTGAGGATTTCTAAAACCTCCTTACCATGCCATATATCAATTCGGGTTTTCTTTCATGAGCTTACCCTGAACTTTAGGAGTTCTACTTAGGCCCATCATTTAAATATGTTGAATTGGTTGGGCAGGCGGTAGTGGGCCAGCTACTTCCCTGTACTCAGGACCCTCCTTTCGTATGAGGCATGCACGTACGGTAAATCATGGCCCCACTAAGGCAATTTTTTAAAGTGCCAGGATTTCGGATTTATTGGAAATCACTATTCGTCCCCCAATTTACGACACTGTACTTTTTCCAATTGTACTAAGTTTTTGGTTGTCTGAGCACAATACTTTTGTTTTCCCCCTGGCCCAATGTCTATTACTCTAAGGGACATTAGAGCCCTAGTGAATCTTCTACCCTTGGGCGATATCATTTTCCCTGGCATTTTGTTTACCGGCACTGCCCCAAAATTTGACAAAAACCTTACTGAGTCCTATTCAGGCATGCAAGGGCTTTATAATCATTCTAGCGCTGAACCTTTTCATACTGAGCGTGTAGCCTTTCTTCACGTTTGGCTTTGTAAATACATCTTTTGTGTGCCCAGCATGAAACCTTCTATGAGTTATCTATTCATAGTACACAAATTAGCACGTGGT